GGATTACATTAGTAATCAGAATGGTAAGTAAATTAATCAAACAGTGACTGAACACAAACCAATAAAACTAGGTTAACCAGGAATCATCGCACTTCTTAAATTATGATTGTTTCGTCAGATAAAATCACATTTTGCTTCATGCAGTGTCTGAATAACTGTGAATGTCCGAACTATAGTCATATTCATGTGCAATTTATTAGTGCAATTATAAGCAGTTGGTTTGTGTTATATGTTCTGTAAAATACATTTGAAGAAAATGTCAGATCAGCAGCATTATGTTGGCCCATGAAATCAGAAAAAGGATTTATCAGCTAACTCTAAAAGAAATACTTAGTGTAAATGTTTTATATCATGTAAGCCAGAGATTGTCAACTGGTGGACCTCAGGAATCCTGCAGGTGGGCCGCGAGATTAAAATCACAATATTGTACTATAATATATTGATTTCAGTATCAGTATGTGATATTAAAATAATCAAAGCAATGCACTTTGTGTTCTGTGATTACTTCAAATTTGGTGCAAAAACAGCCTCATGATTGCATCTGCGACCCGTACACTTGCATCTGTTCAGTCACACACTATGTGTGAAGTGAAAGTGTCTCTGTGTATTTTTGTGAACAATTTAATATATGCGCATATTTGTGCAAATTAAAGTCCTGCAAGTGTTTTATAACAAATGCACGCCCATACAGGAGGATCTAGCGAGGCTCAGTGGTGTTTATAGACGGTAAATATAATTAGCATATGAGCTTCAGATGCGCTCTGGTGGAGCTGTGCACTGTTCCTGTCAGTGATCTCCCAATAACATCCAGCTGCAATCCCAGATGCCATCACATTTTTGTGCAGACAAATATTTTGGAGGAAATGTCAGACAGGTGGGCTTTCAAAGGGTGGGCGCCAGAAACTCTAATGTAAGCGAATGTGTTTTAGGTCGTTTAGTTTCTCACCTGAGAGCAGAATCAGGCTGGAGTTGCTGGTTTTAATGTACGGTTATGTACTCGACTGTCTCAGGATCTGTGGGTTGAGGAGTTTGTCCTTCATCTGTTTTCTTGAGTGAAACGTTCACAAATGAATCATTTTCATAGACGTGTCTGCTTGGATCTTGAACCTGGGAAAACAAGTCAGAATGGAAAGTGTAAAACTAATTATTCTGCTTAAGCCAAACTCTGATGATGAATCCAGCATGATCAACATGAGAAATCAGATACTAAAACAATAAAAGAACAACATAATGAAGCTGTTTATGAATCTTCTGACCTGAATCTCTCTGTCGTTTGACACTCCAGCCTTTTTTCTCTGCCTGCAGCACAGAGATGAACATGTAAACACACATCGATATTCAATGATGATTTAATGTACGTTATTTACACCAGTGTTTCTCAACCACGTTCCTGGAGGACCACCAGCACTGCATGTTTTGGATGACTCCTTTGTCTATCACATCCATTACAGGTCTTTCAGTCTCTGCTGATGAGCTGATGATCTGAATCAGGTGTGTTTGATTGAGACATGAAAATGTGCAGTGCTGGTGCTCCTCCAGGAAACTGGTTGAGAAACACTGACTTAAACCAAACAACTCACCTTAAGAGCAAGACGATGCAGATGAGAAGTAAAACTACACATGCGACTGCGATCACAAACCCTGTATACAGGGAGGAATCCTGATGTACTGAAATGACAGAAATCAGACACGTTGGTTACAGAAATGGAGCAAACCAGCGTATTATTCTGCCAGAAATGACAAAGAATCTGAATGAAGATGCCACAGTGTTATGCAGTTGAATTAAGCGTGTCATTAATGTGGTATTACTTGAGTTTCAGTTCATTAACTAAATGTATTAAAATATTACACTGTAATTTCAGTGACATTTTAATTTAAGTCACAATTCATGCTATTAACAAACCATTAACTAAGACCAGTAGCTCACTGATCAGCTGCTTATTGATAGTTTGTAAGGTGTGAAAGTGTTTTTGGGAAGGATTAGGGAAGCGTAAAACATACTTTAAAACTGAAAAAGAAATATTGCAGTGTTAGGCAGATGATAAGCCAGCACTTAATAACATGAATTGTGATTTAAACTGAAGTGTAAGTGTGATTTCTGAATGATTTAAGCTGTTCAAATAATGAGAGAATCACCATCATCATCATCATCTTCCTTATCTTTATTCTCTTCACTGCTTTTATCATTATCACAGACAACTTCTGTAAAACAAAATTAACAATACACAAATGAGCAGAATTGACAAACTGAAGATGTTTGCTGATGGAACTTTAAGTGAGTGTAGGATGAAGAAGAAAGACAAAACGGCTGAGATTATGTTTTTACTTTATTAATAAAAACCCAATTGACACAAATTGAGAACACAGCATGCTGATTAATTGTCTGTTGTTCAGAAAGATAAGGTTCTGTCTGCGTTCTGAATGATTTTGAGATATTGAGCTTTAAAGTTTCTGCATTCCATAGCAAACAGTATGTGTGTAACATTTGTTTTGTTAAATAAAAAAGTCTTAAAATGTAAACAACTTATAAAACACATCCCATAATGTAAATGAGCTGTCATTTAATAAGATTATGTCAATAATTCAATTTTGACAAAAATGTCAGATAGAACCTCATAATTCTATGGTGACAATATGTATATGATTTAATTTACAATAACAACACTGTTATGTTGCAGAAAGACACTAATAAAAGCACAACAGACACTCACTGTGAATCACGAGGAAGATGATCAGAGGAAGAAGAGCAATTCTGACTGACATCATCATCACCATGGAAACACCTACAACAATGACACAACAGGTTTATTATTGGTGCAAGGGCGTAGATTTGCTCTTGACATTGGTGGGGACATACATGCCTAGAGATGCATAGTGCAAATTGATTACATGTATAAAGTACTTAATAATGTAAAAGAAACACTTAATAATACAAATAACAATTAATGAAGAGTGTTCTACGCCACAACAGTCAATTTACATGATTTCACTGCAATCTGGCTCTGAGTAGGTATGAATGTAGAGAAGTTTAGAGAGGTGTGTGACGCAATGTACCAGTTTATTTCAGATTATTGTTTTTCATAATCGTAAACTGAATTTCCATTAATTGCACAGCCTTGGTTAATAGTACTATAGTGGACTAATAGCTAACTTGACTTTAACCCTTTGTGCACAAATCGGTTACTAAGGGTTGACAGAGCATTATTTCATTTTGAAGTTAAATTATCAAATCCACTCCAGGCCTGTAGCCAGCCTGGTGAAAGAGGTGGTTCTTTTTTTCTGCAAAAGCGGACCTTTTTGCAGTTTTACGCCTCAGCTTCTGCTTAACTATGAGATTTAAACACTGCATTTTAGTGACATCTTAAGCAGTACTGTTTTTGCTGGATTGGCGAGTCAGATGTCATCATAACCACAATTTTTGAAGTACTAAAAATATTTCCTAAAAATTTGCAGTAAAGAAAAATTAAAACAAGACAACAAATATATTACATCATATATCATCATAACATAGCAATCTGTTAACGTTTCCCTGCTGAAAAAAACAGCTTAAACCAGCCTAGGCTGGTTGTGCTGGTTTTAGCTGGTCGACCAGGCTGGTTTTAGAGGGGTTTTGGCCATTTCCAGGCTGGTTTCTAGCCATTCCCAGCCTGGTCTTAGCTAGACAGGCTGGAAGATGACCAGTTAAAACCAGCTTGACCAACCTAGCCAGGCTGGGAGCCCAGCCAAAACCAGCTATGTACAGCTTAAACTAGGCTGGTCAAGCTGGATTTAGCTGGTCATTTTCCAGCCTGACCTGGCTGAAATGGCTAACCGCCCCCCCCCCTAAAACCAGCCTGGTCAACCAGCTAAAACTAGCCAACCAGCCTAGGCTGGTTTGAGCTGGATTTTTCAGCAAGGTTTAAAGTAAAAAAAACTGTAGCCTACTGTCATTTATTAGACAAAATGCAAACTGGTCAGCACATTCAACTGTCCTCAGTCACAATTTGGCCATTTCAATAATAAAAATAAATAAATAAAAATCATAATAAAACAACAGTAATGAATTCTTCAGAGTTTTTCTAGCCTTTTTGGTAAAAAAAAAAAAAGTACGGTTGAAAATTTCTGGATATCAACAATAGACACAATATATTTAAATTAATTTAATATGGTCCGCTTCTGGTGCTTCACACCTTTTTATTGCTCATTTTAATTTCAGAAATAAGGTCCAGGATTTATAATAAAAGTTCCCTGTAAAATGTTTTCTCTGTTTAAAGCAAAACAGTAGTGAAAGAAGACTTCTCCTACATCAGATTATATTCCCACCGCAGCAACAGCCGACAGAGGACTCTGTTTGGTCCTAAAGCCTTTTTTGATGGATTATTTCATTATTTGTGATGTCACAGCAGTCAAAATAGCAGGACAAATGAGCTTATGTATGGGACAAATTCTTGACCTTTGTCAGTGAGGGGTGGTCTTCTGAACCACCCGAACCCCCCCTGGCTACAGGCCTGCAATCTCTGGAAGCATCTCAGTCCTCTCAAAGAGACGAGATAAAGATATAACTTGTTAACTAAAGACCAAGAAAGATATAATGGTTTTTAGATCTTTCAAACTCGATTAAATTATTAGTAGGGATATTTCAGGAATTGGTGGATATTGGGACACGTCCCCTCCGCCCATGCCAATTCCACACCCTTGATTGTTAATTCTGAAATATTAATATAATATAAATAAATGTAATTAAGTTCATTTTTATTATTAAAAACCCAGTATATTAAAGTTGATTTAAAGCAAAACAGGCTTCTTTTGAGAACATTAACACTGATAGTGTACGCTTGTTCATAAATAAATATATGAATAATCTGATCATTACTTACCGCACTGCAGGACCGCTCATCAACTGAACCAGAAGACAAATGAGGAAGATTTAGAGTCTGCCGGCCTCTTATAACCACAGCATCATTTCCTGTTTTTATATATACACTTTTGAATATAGTTTCTCTCTCTCATTCATTTTCCTCCAGCTTACTTCCTTTTCACAGTGGATGTCCTTCCAGCTGCAACCCAGTACTGGGAAACACCCATTCACAGACACACACACTCATACACTACAGTTCATCAATTCCCCTATAGCACATGTGTTTGGGAAACCGGAGCACCCGGAGGAAACCCACGCCAACACGGGGAGAACATGCAAACTCCACACAGAAACGCCAACTGACCCAGCCGGGACTCAAACCAGAGACCTTCTTGCTGTGAGGCGACAGTGCTAACCAATTTCAAAGCTGTGGACGCTTACTGTATTACATACAAGTAAATAAAACACACACTCTAAGCCTTAATATATAGATGTATATAAATGTCATCAGACATGCGAGGGCCTACACGAATCTGTTCCATATAGATTTCTGATATATGGAAATATATAATGTACAAGTTCATGTTTGGATTGCACATATATAAAATATGTCATATATGCGGCATATAGTTCAGAATATTACTAATATTTGTACATCTGCACATATTTGCAAATCCAATGGCTGAATATATATATATATTTATATACATATATATATATATTATCATATATGGTCATATGTCAGATTTCTGTGTGGAATTATTTACAGATTCTGTGTAATGCCCAATATGATGATGACGGCTGTATGCTTCCTGACATGAGTCATGCTGTATTTTAGGTGTTTGCATCATCTCCAGTGTTTAGAGTTGCATCACTTCAAGCTTTTATGCATGATCTTCTGATTTTACATGATTGTGTTTGATTTGTTTTAATAAATTAAGCTCCATTTCAGTAGTGACAAACTAAAATCAATACTTTGTGCAGTTATAATAGAATGAATTGTACTAAAATCTATTATTAAATATGAGCACATCATTGTCAGTGTCCAGAAACAGGAAGACTGCTGAGGTTTCACTTCTCACTTTTAACCAGCAGAGGCTTTAGGTGTGAGATTTGAGTCTGGCTGGCACAAACCTCCAGCCCACACGGCTATTATTAATATTTAAATTAGCCTAAAATGACATCACATCTACCATAATCAATGAAAAACATCAGACAAACAGGTGGTCTCAGGCAAACCTTTCTCACTTTTAATCATGTAAAAGAGCTTTGGCTGTTTAGACTAAAATCTGTAGAGATCTCTCTAGATCTGTTTGTTAATGATTCTGACCAAAAAAAAGCATCGTAAATGCAAATGCCTCATTTTACTATGAACCCAGAGCTGAAAATAAATACTAATGGTGGCAGTCCAGATGAGTGTTTTAAAGGGGACCTATTGTGAAAAAAATCCCTTTTATAAGGGGTTTAAACGCAGTTGTGTGCAGTGTGTGAATATCTCCAGCCTCTAATTGTAAACAAATAAATTGTATTTGGTCTAATCAGATCTATGTCAATCTATTTTTTATTTTATTATTATATTTTATAAAAGCTGCTTAAATGCCCTTAATTTAACTATAAACCCTGGCTTAAAATAATCTGTGAAACTGTGTCTATATGTTCAGAACAACAAACTACTGTAGGCTACTACTCTACATCGTTTTCAATATTATCAAAGAAGTCTTCTGTGATAGTTTATATCACATTGTTTATGTTTTATTCAGCAGGGGAGTAAAGCACATATCTTTACATTGTACTGAGCTAATGTCCACAGAAGTAGCCTATATAGCCTACAGTACATGAGTCATGTTTGACCCTGTGGAGACTTCTTTTGCTCATAAATCACACATAATGAAGTATTTTGAAAATGTACAAATGCAGATTGTTTCTTGTGAGTGTTGGGTTTAGGGAACGAGAAAGGGAATATATAGTGGAAACACCACTAATGACCGAAAACTGGAGAAAAGCTGAGAGAACAGACTAACAGCGCGCCCTAGTGGACAACTTGGGTAATGATCATCACTGTGGTGTCTTATTTTTATCCATCCCGATCTGGGACAAGACAGATAACGCCTGGCCTGTTAATACTACATAAAAATGTTACCAAAGTGCTTTAATAGCGATAACTAAAAACAATATTTGAAATATTTCCCCTAACTTGGCATCAGGGATAAAGATAAAATAAATGGCTAGCGTTTTTTTTCTTTTCTATTATCTTCTTTTGTGGTCAACTTTAAAATAAATAAACTAAATCATCATTACATCTTAAACAAAATCAGAACTAGTGAATTTATGTTCATAATGTTCATCATAATGTAAACTATCTCTCTAAAGCGCGCGATTGATCCGTTACTGCACATGCGCAGTCGAGTTTCTCCGCCTCAGGTAGCGGCGTCGCGCGACCACATTACACAGGCAGAAATGTTTAGTGAACAAATGATCTCCAGTGTTTTGCAGGTTTACTACATGAAACAGGAGGAGCGTCTCAACATGGCGTCATCGACGTTGATGAGGTAAACTGCAGGTTACTGCCAAGATTATCAAGGTATTTAGAGGACAAAGCGATTCACAAATCCAGCAAAAAATTCACTGTCACTTTGATTCTGATGTAATGATCCACTTCTACAGAATATTCACGAGCTCTTACATTTCATAAACATCATTTTAGGCCTTAAAACGGTCTTAAATTCAATGAAATATTGTCTTGTAGGTCTTTAATCATTTTAAACGGGTCTTAAATGTGTTCATGTGAAGCTACCAATCGATCCAACACACATCCAATCACCAACAATACATATCAATAAACTTCAATCAGCAAAACTATATTCATAACAAATATTATTAATCTTTTGGGCGCCCATTTAGTTTTTAAGTTGATGACGTAAGCATGCATTTTAAAAAAATGTATGTAGGCTATGGTCTGTTTTGACACATTATTTAATATATGTGGCTAAGAAATAACTCTAAAGTTAGTTTTTTAAGTAAATTTTTGTTTCTGCTGGCCCATTTTCTTTTAAATCCTCAGTGTTTAGCCTTATATGAATCAGAAATTTAATTCTTCATGGTCTCAGAAAGCTCCTAAATTTGACTTTGTGAAACCTGCAGAAGCCCTGTTTCTAATGTCAGACATAAATAACAAGAATGTTTAACAATAAATGTTTTATTGCACAATCTTAAAACACATCAACATATGAGGCATGAGTACACTGTATTTATATACTCTAGAAATGCTGGCTTATTTACACACAATTTTGGGTGAAACATGGACAAATCCAATAATGGCTCAATTTAAAAAAAATAAATAAATTAGGGCATAGACCCAACTTTGCTGGTAAAGTCTAGAAGGGATACAGCTGCAGATACTCACATCAATATAGCATACATTTTGTGACACTACAATAATTAATGATATTTTTACCTTACTATGAGAGTTATGTTTAGGGTTAACATGGGGCAGGTGTAATAATATATAATATAATTCATTCATTTTCTTTTCAGCTTAGTCCCTTCATTAAATTGGGGTCGCCACAGCGGAATGAACTGCCAACTTATCCAGCTTAGGGGAGAGCGGGAGACAAAGTAACACTTTTTGGTTTTGGTCAAATAATAAACAAAGTAATGGGGTTAGACAAACCAACACAATCTCACGGCAATTCGTGACTTTTTCATTTAGTGGCTAATTCGTATGAATTCGTACGATCTAATTCGTACAATTTAGTACGATTTGCTCATCCCCCAATGACGGTTGGGGTTAGGGGTGGGGTTAGGTGCCACGCCTCCTTTTTAAAATCGTACCATTTCGTATGACTGAACTCGTACGAATTAGCCACTAAACTGGCAAAACGTAAAATACTTACGTTTTCTCGTGAGATCAGGCTGGACAAACCATATTTTTTTACCAACAAAACACAAGCCTCTCCTACAAATGAGCACTGGAATTATGATCACCGGACCTGTGGTTTCTGTGCAGTATTGCCAAAAGTACCAGGAGTAAAAATGTTACTATTTACCCCACCTGCGGGGCAAGTTGTAACAGTTAGAGGGTTAGTTGTAACACATGCTTTTAAAGGCAGATTTCACACACTTAATTTAATTTATGTTTACTTTAAATATAGCTATATTTTCTCAGGAATTTGCCATTTTTTTAAATTCTACATAGCACAATATGTTTATGTATTTATTTGTTTATTGGATAAACACATTTAAATCTGTTTGCATTATTATCCATTATTATACACTGCATTCATTTGCATTATTAGCAATAAAATACATATTTTCTGTTTTAAAAGTTTCCAATATTACACTCAAAATTCAAAAAATTATTGTGTTAGTTTAGTTGGTGTGCAACAGTGTGTGGCTTAATTGTAACACCTTGTTACAACTAACCCCGCTGTGTCGTGGTTTCCTCACAACTGGCTGGCAGTCACTGTTTCTTACATCTTTCATAATGGTTTCATCTTTTAGCCTAGAAGACGGTGATCACAACAGTATAAGATTTTATCTACATACTTTTACAGATTTTTAAAAAAATAAAAAATATTGAGTATAATAAAAGATACTGCAAAAATGGTTTCTCCTGTGTTTCTTATCCAAAATTAAACTTTTTCAATAAGTGGTAGGAAGACGTCTGCTGTCACTGTGGTGAAAACCTCTGAAGCATGCTATGGTTAATACTGTGTTACATTTAACCCCGCGTTACATTGTGCCTCGCACTCCCCTATGTTTCTCTTCAACCGCAACCCATCAATGGGAAATACAATATATATTATATACAAAATGTATATATAATAAATCAACAATGCTTGGTTTAATTGCTGTTTTTACATTAATGTGATGGTTGGGTTTAGGGTTGGGATAGGGGTAGACATTAATAAAATATAATAAATGGGTAATTTAATAAATTATATAAATAATTCTCCTAAACCTCCGGCTTCAGCTGTATCCCTTCTAGCTGCAACCTTTACTCTGTAAATGCTGCAGCAGGTTTTGTCCATATTTAGACAGACAGAGAGAGAGAGAGAAAGAGAGAAACTAAGGCACATGATTGCGAAATAACACTATTAATGCAGCAATTTATGAAAATTTCCCACATCTTGGAAAACATTACAAAGCAAGCTATTAACAGAAATCAGCAAAGCAAGTAAAAAAGTAGATGCTGTAATTTCCTTCTCTGACACACTGAACCACAGTCTACTGAAGACACACTGATGTAAATAACCACAAAGAAATGCTTCTAGTCTGCAGCGTTGCTAAATTTGACCAAAAAGACAGTCAACAGTGAGGAGAAGTTAATAACGTTGAGTGGACTGTTCCTGATGTGACTTGAAATGGTAATTAAATATAATAATCTAACTCAAAGCTGCTGTAAATGTCATTACGCTTCACTTTCAATCCACTTTATGATCCTGGAGCTTTGATCATGCTGTAAAACACCGCATTATTCACCACAGCACCAGATCTGTGGAGGAAAGATCAAATAATAATGACCAGTTAAAGACAATTAAAACCAGAGTGTTATGGGTTTTTTAGGGCCGATGCTAATATCAGGGATTAAAAAATACAGATAACAATATATCGGCCGATATTTCTTTACATGCTTATTATAGTACAGTAAAAGTAGCCATCAAAAGCACACTATATAGAATACAGTGTAAACATAAACACATTTTTGCATTGTATTTTCAAATGTAAAAAATCTGAAATGAAGAAATAATAATAATGAAAAATAAACTGATATTTAGTTTAATAACAACTTCATGGGCTTAATTGTATTTAATGGGCATCTTAATTGGATCACTTTAGTAATCAGAATGGTAATTAAACGAAACCACGAATCTTAAACAATTTAACTACTTATTTAAAAATGTTATATGTTGTAAATATTAATGACCATTTAATTACCCGCTTCAAGCTCACCCGGACAAAAACCAGCAGACTGAGGAACAGCTTTTTCCCCAGAACTGTCTCCCTCCTGAACTCTGCCCTTCACTGACTCTTTTGTCCCCCTAATAAACCCCCCACTCTCCTCTAACTTAGGCTGTACCAATGACTGTAAAAAATATGGACGACGCGACAGCCCTTTTTCCCATTGAACGCCTTGAGGGCAAAACGCCTGCTAGACTGGCACAAACTTTCGCAAAAGACTGCTGAAATTGGAGCCAGACATGCGCAGAAGGATTGTCTGATGGAGCCAGAGGAGGAGCCGCGAAAATGAGCAGAGTCGAGCTTCCAATCAAACGCTTTATGTAAAATCAACTACGCCCCCCGAACTTCTCAGCATGCGTTTGCTGTCATATCAACACAAATGGATGTAATAACGTTAACAAATATGAGGGTTTTATATATTCAATCGCGCCAGCTCCAGGCCGCAGCGCATAACTTACTCGCGGCGTCGCGGGCTGATTCCGGCTCGCATGCGGCAGCGCCTGCTCGCTCGGCCGCCGCATCTGGCTCGATTGACTCGGACTGGAATCGGGCAGTGAGTCCAGGCATCCGGAGTAGGTCCAGCAGAGGTAACATTAGTCAGTCTGAGCTCTAAGAGATAAGTCTCCGGCAGGCGAGAATCTAGCCGGAACTGTGTTTTGCTATCTGGGTGGCTAGGTGTGTATCAGCAAACTAATAAAGCCCGAAAAAAGCCCTGACCTTAGCGAATAAACAGTGTTCCACCAGGATCATGTATGTCAGAAACTATAGTTTACTGCTGAACTCATTTTGTCATAGTAAAATAACACAGAAATCGAATAATAACACTTCAGTCTCCTGCCGAAGCTCAGACGCCGCGCTTTGAGAAACTGTCAATCACAGCTGTCAATCACGATGACACGCCCAGCATTAAAATACTGCTAAAAACAAACTGTTTACAAAAATGAAGATCTGCACCTATTTCAGCACAATAACCAGTGCCTTAATCGACCACGACTATCTTTCGGGACATTTTATTGCAAGTGTAATATATTTTTTTATTTGGGCTCAAGTCTCCTTCATTAACACGGAGGAGGCGGGCTTTATGACTTGTACTGCAGCCAGCCCCCAGGGGGCGATCTAACGGCCGAAACCTTCACTCGAACGTAGGCTTGCGGCACACTTGGGCTGTACTCACACTATGTACAGTTGCCTCTGACCGGGCCAAAGCACGCTTGTCCCCCCTCCCGTCTCCCCTGACAGCCCGCACTCACACTACAATCGGGCCTGGGCACGCTTACGTCACCAATGCTGCGCTGTTCAGTGAGCGCTCTCGCTCAGCACAGTGGAGATTTCTCTAGTTATATCGTTTCAGTCGTTTGTTATGCAGTGACATGCAGTCAAATATTTCGCCAAACAGTCCTTAGGGATGCGGTGACACGCAGTCAGATATTTCGCAGAACAGATCCGCCACTTTTGGCGCTCATAAACAATCATAAAGCTCTCGTGCTGCAGGAATTAGGAGGTCTGCTGAAGGTGTGCAGCTGTCGTGCAGAGAGGGGTTTGCGTCTTTAATAAACTAAGGCAGTTTGCGTTTACTGAACAGTAAGAATGATTAATAAATCCATATGAAACAGCCCCTTAAAAGTCACGTCTCGCCTTCAGTTTCGGGCATTAGCGTGTTTTGCACTCACACTACAAGCGTACCGCGCCAAAGCCCAAGGAAATTTTCACAATATGTCTGATAATATTTTTTTCTTCTGGAGAAAGTCTTATTTGTTTTATTTCAGCTAGAATAAAAGCAGTTTTTAATTTTTTAAACACCATTTTAAGGTCAATATTATTAGCCCCTTTAAGCTATATTTTTTCGATAGTCTACAGAACAAACCATCGTTATACAATAACTTACCTAATTACCCTAACCTGCCTATTTACCCTAATTAACCTAGTGAAGCTGTATAGAAGTGTCTTGAAAAATATCTACTCTAATATTATTTACTGTCATCATGGCAAAGATAAAATAAATCAGTTATTAGAGATGAGTTATTAAAACTATTATGATTAGAAATGTGTTGAAAAAATCTGCTCTCGGTTAAAGAAATTATAAACAGGGGGGCTAATAATTCTGACTTCAACTGTATATATATATATATATATATTAGTAAATGAATGGGCTTTTATTTAACAGGCATATTAATAGGATTACATTAGTAATCAGAATGGTAAGTAAATTAATCAAACAGTGACTGAACACAAACCAATAAAACTAGGTTAACCAGGAATCATCGCACTTCTTAAATTATGATTGTTTCGTCAGATAAAATCACATTTTGCTTCATGCAGTGTCTGAATAACTGTGAATGTCCGAACTATAGTCATATTCATGTGCAATTTATTAGTGCAATTATAAGCAGTTGGTTTGTGTTATATGTTCTGTAAAATACATTTGAAGAAAATGTCAGATCAGCAGCATTATGTTGGCCCATGAAATCAGAAAAAGGATTTATCAGCTAACTCTAAAAGAAATACTTAGTGTAAATGTTTTATATCATGTAAGCCAGAGATTGTCAACTGGTGGACCTCAGGAATCCTGCAGGTGGGCCGCGAGATTAAAATCACAATATTGTACTATAATATATTGATTTCAGTATCAGTATGTGATATTAAAATAATCAAAGCAATGCACTTTGTGTTCTGTGATTACTTCAAATTTGGTGCAAAAACAGCCTCATGATTGCATCTGCGACCCGTACACTTGCATCTGTTCAGTCACACACTATGTGTGAAGTGAAAGTGTCTCTGTGTATTTTTGTGAACAATTTAATATATGCGCATATTTGTGCAAATTAAAGTCCTGCAAGTGTTTTATAACAAATGCACGCCCATACAGGAGGATCTAGCGAGGCTCAGTGGTGTTTATAGACGGTAAATATAATTTGCATATGAGCTTCAGATGCGCTCTGGTGGAGCTGTGCACTGTTCCTGTCAGCGATCTCCCAATAACATCCAGCTGCAATCCCAGATGCCATCACATTTTTGTGCAGACAAATATTTTGGAGGAAATGTCAGACAGGTGGGCTTTCAAAGGGTGGGCGCCAGAAACTCTAATGTAAGTGAATGTGCTTTAGGTCGTTTAGTTTCTCACCTGAGAGCAGAATCAGGCTGGAGATGCTGGTTTTAATGTACGGTTATGTACTCGACCGTCTCAGGATCTGTGGGTTGAGGAGTTTGTCCGACATATGTTTTCTTGGGTGAAACGTTCACAAATGAATCATTTTCATAGACGTGTCTGCCAGGATCTTGAACCTGGGAAAACAAGTCAGAATGGAAAGTGTAAAACTAATTATTCTGCTTAAGCCAAACGCTGATGATGAATCCAGCATGATCAACATGAGAAATCAAATACTAAAACAATAAAAGAACAACATAATGAAGCTGTTTATGAATCTTCTGACCTGATTCTGTCTGTTGTTTAAAACTCCAGCCTTTTTTCTCTGCCTGCAGCACAGAGATGAACATGTAAACACACATCGATATTAAATGATGGCCGCCGAGTGAAATGACTTGCCCTAAAGGGACTTTGCTAGCAGTGTTGCCAACCATTTTCAATGAAAAGTGGCTAAAGCCTGCCCGAAAAGTAGCTAAATGTTGCCAGAGGACGTTCAGCACTAATTTACATATCAGTGACGTCATTACGTAGTATCTGACAAGCGTAACCCCGTCATGTCTCTACTCTCTGAGGCGCCGCGTATTATATTAAAACATTACATCAAGATTCACAATAAATAGGTTATTAACATATTACTTGGCGTGACAATGTCATTGCGTAATCACAACTCAATACTACATCTTTATGTATTTTACAAAATAATTAATGCTTTCTCAAATGGACTGGCCATCTCAGCAAAAACATTATATCAAATATGTCCATTTAGATTTGTATGAAAAATAGAGTTATAGCACTATTGGTATAACTGTTACCTAAATTACCAACAATTACACGTGTTAACAAATATCAGTAAATGAACAGTTATGAAAAACAATCTGAGCTAGCGATTTACTTTACTGAGTGAAGCCTGCAGCCTCTGCTCTTTTGAGTCTTATTTATTTATTTTTTTAATTGCTAAAAGTAGCCAAATTAATGTTAAATATTGCTAAATTTGTTGCTAGGTGTGATTTGAAAAAAAAAAGTTGCTAGGGTAGTATGAAAAGTTGCTAATTCTAGCAACAAAATTGCTAAGTTGGCAACACTGTTTGCTAGTACTTCACTATATATACAGTTGAAGTCAGAATTATTAGCCACACTTTGATTTTTTTTTTCCTAAATATTTTCCAAATGATGTTTAACAGATTTAGGAAATTTTCACAGTATGTCTGATAATATTTTTTCTTTTAGACAAAGTCTTATTTCTTTTATTTCGGCTAGAATAAAAGCAGTTTTTAATTTTTTAAACACCATTTTAAGGTCAATATTATTAGCCCCTTCAAGCTATATTTTTTTCGATAGTCTACAGAACAAACCATCATTATACAATGTTTGGTTGCGTACTCGATCGT